TGTTCAATACTCTTAGCCAACACCACAGTTCAAAGACATGAAATCTTCTTTAGTTTCCTAATTCATTGTCTACAATTTGTATGAGAAGTAATGGACAAGATCATGGCTTGGTGTTATTTGTGAAGGAAACTTTATCAGGAAAGTTTTAAGAAGTTTACTTGTTATATGCCATTGATTCAGAATCAACTCTTAGCTGACCATCCAGAAGGTTTGCAGAGACAGTAAATCAGACAGAAGGAGATTGTCCATCTTTGTCCTCCAGAGCAGCTAGTGGATTCGAAACATGTGCCTTTGGATTGACAGTACAGATCCTTACTTACTAAGCCACCAGAACTCTCTGGTGGGTCCTGTTGTTGTTATGTGCCATCGAGTCGCTTGTTACTCTTAGTAAGCCTGTACAAAACACCTCTGAAGGTTACGCTGTCCTGAGCCAGTCTCGTCGACTCAAATTCACCTACCCTCATTGCTCCAGTTACTGTATCAATCAATCTCATCCTGGGACCTCCTTTCTTGCACTGTCTCTCCACTCTTCCAAGAATGATGTCCTTCTCCAAGGACTGGTCTATCCAGGCCACATACCCAAAGTATGGAAAATTAAGCTTCATAATCCTAGCCTCCAAGGAGAAACTTTGTTTCACCCTCTCCAGACAGACTTATTTGTCTTCTTGATGATCCATTGTATGTTCAAGACTCTTCTCTAGCACCACAACTCAAAAGCATCAATTCTTCTTCCGTCATCCTTAGTCATTGTCCAGCTCTCTGGTACAGAGTAAGTAATTGCAAAGATTGTGCCTGGATCAGGAACATCTTAGTCTCTAGACTGACATCATTGCTTCTCTGTACTCTGGAGAGGTTCCTGACAGCAGATTTTCCCAGTGCAATTTGTCTTTTGATGTCTGACTACTGGTGCCAAGAATGTTGATTGTGAGGCTGAGCAAGCTATGATTGTTAACAACCTCAATCTCTTACCCATCTATTATCATTGTGCCAGTTTGTCCCATGATGTGAATCTTTGTCTATCATGATGTTGAGCTTCAATCCTTATTCAAGACTACAGTCCTTGACCTTCTACAGCAAGCACTTCAGGTCTTCCCTCTGTTTCAGCAAACAATGTTTTGTCATCTGTAAGTTATTGATGAGTCTTCCTCCAATCATGATACCCTATTCCTCCTCATAAAGTCCAGCTTCCCCAATTATCTGTTCTACACGTAGGATGAAAAGGTATGTTGCCTGGATGAATCCTTGACACAACAGTTTTCTGATTTTGAATTATGTAGTCAGTGTTTCCTTTCTCTGTTCTGAGGACTGCTTTCTGGTCTGAGTACAGGTTTCACATGAGCACAAACAAGGGTTGTGTGATTCTGATTCTCCTCAAGGTTAGCCACAATTTGTTGCGGCCTTTACATAGTAATGATACACAGACATTCCTCTGGTACACTTTGCTTTCAGCAAAGATCCATCTGACATTGGAGATAATGCCTCTAGTGCCACAACCTCTTCTACATTCAACTTGTATTTATAATAGTTCTCTGTCCATATGCTGTGTACTCTGTATACTCTTTCCATCATCTTTTTTTTATGGTACTATTTATTGAGGTTTAATTTACATACAACAAAAATTACCTGTTGCCACTATTCAGTTGAAAACCATTTCTGACTTCCCAAGTAGCCTAACCAAACATCATTTGGTTCAAAAAGGACAGTATGTAAGGATACAATATAAAATCGGCTTCCCTTACACCTCACTGACCTATACAGTCAGCTTCCCTTGTCAATCTTCTATACTTGTGTGTACCCTTTCCTACCCTTAATCCAACAGTGTTCATTATTTCCTCACACCATTCTGGGTGAAAAACCTCCACCATATTTCCTCTATCTAAACTTTTCTGTAGTGTTTCTCCGTACAACAGCACTTAGTTCATTTGTGACTTGCTTCACTAT